GGTAATATCTGCAAAGGCGGAACTGGTAAGCCGGAATTGAGATTGTGTAGCTGAACACCTAAGACATCTGAAAGGTAAACTCGAACGTGAGGGGGATAATAATCATTAAATGGAAAACAGAGACTATTTCACTTCCTCCAGAAGTACAACCAACCAAACCAGACATTACCGCGTTGAAATGTTAATGTAACCTCACCCTAGTATGATAAACCTTCACAATCAAAGGAGTTCAACAGCCTATAAATAGAGATACTTGTGACACAGCGATTTGATAGAGGCCAAAGTAATTGTTAAAAGTTGCGATTTTGATAGACAATGGTGAGTACACACACACACAGCCAAAAGAACTTTATACAACCAAATGCAAGATGAGCTTATCTAGACAAATTTTTTAAAGAGTCAGCCTAGTTATGCTACGTATTCTATTAATTTGACTTAGTCTGCTCTTATCTCTCTCTCTCTCTACTGTTCTACCTTTTTAATTACAGTACTTGTGTATTAGACTTTTTTTTAGGAATTTCACATAGTTATCAGAAAAGTGAAAATTATTCAGCTTCAATGATAAGGAGATGAAGGGAGCCTAAAACAAGGAATCTGGGGGAATGGTATAGAGCCAGTCCTACTTGGGGCCCTGCTTAAAGGGCATGCACTAAGGAAACCTCCTCTATTAAGTTTCTTGTGCAAGGCTGCAGTCCAAAACACAAGGGAAACAGTTGGAAACCAAAGGCAAAAACTAAGCTGGAGGGGGTGAAATATCGAAAACTGATAATCTGGGAACATCATTAAATAAATTGCATTTAATATAAAAAAAATAAATAAGAGGGGTACGCTACTGGTTTATTATACTTTTTTTCATATTTAACTAAAAAGCTCTATGCACAATTAAAGCAGCTGCAGAAAAAAGCATTACCCACCTGTAACTGTTATTCTTTGAGATGTGATGCAGGTGTGTGCCACAAGGAAAAGCAGTTTTCTGACATAAAGAGGAGAAAGAAGAAGCTGGCAGAGGCTCAAAGGGAAGCCCCACAAGAGCTGCTAAGACAATATTAAGGTTCCACAAAGGAATCGGCTCTTTAACCAGGAGGTGGAAACAAGTGATTCCTTTCATGTACCTCACTGCCACAGGATTTGAAAACGCTGACTTCCTGTGAATGGGAAGGTAGCAGCCATACGCCTCAGGAGATCCTGATACATATTAAAGTCCTCAGGCACCAAAGGAGAGGAAGATTTCAGCACAGTAGAGCTGTCCAGGGAGGATGAGGAGGCCGTTTGTTGCGCCAGCAATAGGTCCTGTTCTTGCACCACAGGATGTGGTTGGAAAAGCCCTGGAGGTTCCTGGGGGAACGGGCTTAGGGTCACTTGCCGCTGAGATGGTTAGGGAGTGGGAGCCACCATCAGGACCAGTAATCTTGCTCTGGAACAGGTCAAGGAATGGGACTTCTTGGAATCCTTGTGATGCTCCTTGGTTCCTGGAGGCCACTAGGCATACGGATAAGGCATTGGGAGACAACAGACACCTGGCTAAGAGCCCTTGGTCTGACTGTAGGACAGATGCCTATACTCAATACCAGTGGGATCCAAGGGCAATCTCTGGCGCCCATCTGATGACGAAGGGGAAGATGACCCTGACATGGATCTTGAAGAATCCCAGAGGCTCTCTAGTGACAATGGGGGAGCCAACCCCAATGGGGCAAACAGACTCATCTGACGCCCAATACAGGGAAGGCACTGGTGCTGAAGAGGAATGGGGGCTTGGCACTGGCAGTACCAAATGAGACACTCTCCCACCCAGTACTGGGAAAGGCACCAGTACTGAGGCTAAGGGGAGTACCAAACTCGATGAAGGGATCTGCTGCCAAGACAACGACGGTGCCAAAGGATGCACCAATGTAGAGGGGGCTAGAATTCACCTTAACTCCACCATTTCAGGCCCAAACAGTGCGAGCTGTGGTGCTAACAATCCCTGTGATGCAGCCAGAAGGTGCCAAGGGCACAACGGAGGGTGAGGCAGTAGACGCTATGGCACCAGGGAACTCTGGAACCAGTAGAGAGTCTAGTACTGAGATACAACACAGGTCTAACGCTGCTTGATATGCTGCTAGCATTGAAACAGCCAGTGCTGGTACCGATGACTTCGGCACCAACCTGAACGGATGCCCTATGGCTGGAACCAGACTTAGTGGCACAGGGGAGCAGTTAGATGGACATCCTCCATTCCATGTGCCAGAGAAAGTATGGTGCCGGTCAGCACTCCTCTTAGAAAATGAGTAGGAGCCTCCCTGAGCCCTGGAATGGTCCCGATTCATTTTATGTGAGCTCTTCCCTCACTGTACCAGAAGAGAGAACGACCCCTCTTCCTCCTGGGGGAAATGCCAGAGCCTGAGCATGGAGTGACATCACTTGCCAGATCCAAAGGTGACTGCCAATCAGATGAGGTCCTCGATGATGTGGGCCTCATGACCTGCTCCAGCAGGTGCTGCTTCAGCCGCAAGTCCCTCGTCACCCGAGTTCTCTCTGTGAACGACCAGCAGATGGACTACCACTCTCTGATGTGTTCTTTGCTGAGATACAGCAAGCACCACATGCGGGGATCATTGTTAGGGCTGGCCACCCTACACGACGGACAAGCTTGAACCCTGGTGAGGGCATCACACAGGACAGCCAACTACTCTAACTAATATTATTCTAAATAAAAAAATGTAACCTAAGGTGCTACTAACAACTACATACAAGGAAATGTTTCTCAGAAACTGAGACTGAAAGCTGGGACTCTAGCCATGGGCAGTGAGAGGGAACCAAGGAGCTTGGACTGGCACCACCCTTATGTGGCAGGAAAGGGGCAAGGGCCACAGGGCACGAGCGCTGCCCGGCAGGTACTCATAAGCAGAGTTCTCCATCTCCAGCGTCCTGGGCATGCACACAGCTAAGTATAAATACAAAGCTGCATCTACTCGAGAAAGGACTCTAGTTTGCTGCTCTGGTGATACAGAATCCCAGACCCTTACTGCAGGATGTAGTTCCAGTTTCCTCAGACTACATAGGGCATTGGTTACAATTCATGCAGCCATACATTCTACTGGAAGAAGTGCAAGTGCCAGAGTTCGCAAATCTGGTGGCTGGTATTTAGTTTAAGGGAAGTGGACATAACTTGGATTTTTAAAGAGCCTGTGACTGGGTTGACTTCTCACTCACAAATTGCCAAAAGTGGCTACCTTCCACACATCTTTACTTAATGCAGTTTCTCCACCAGCACATTCCATGTTGCTCATAATTTTCACAAGACCTAGTATAAACAAACTACTTGGCTTCTTCAAGATGCAAGGATAAATACACAAAAAAACAGTATGAGCAGCTTCATTCCATTTCATTTTTAATAGGGAACACTGATCCTGAAGAACCCATGAAATTACTTATGCCCTCACATGACCATAGTATCTGAACACCTCACAAACACGAACATATCCTATGAACACCCTTTGATATAGAACAAGTATGATCCTCAAAGCCCCTCCCCTACCTTGGTCTGCAGCATGTCCTGAAAGTGAAACCATCTGGGCAATGTCAAAGTCAGAATAGGTGTTTGGGGGGGGAATATTGAGACGTTTTCTTTGGATATTGGGGGGGACAGTAGATTTTGATTTGGTTGAGAGAGGTAGTACGATTCAATGGATAGGGCACCGGATTGGGACTCAAGAGATCTATTCAGCTCTACCACTGCTGACATGCCATGTGACCTTAGCTAAGTCATTTCTACTATGTGCCTCTGTTTCCTCTCCCACCCTTTGTGTATCTTTCCTGTTCAGACTATAAACTCTTGGCGGCTTCTGGAACCCCAATCTCAGCTGAGATCTCTAGTCATTAACACAATGTAAATGTTTGTATTACACGTTGGTGCCTTGCAGTTGTATGTATTTGAGAAGAAAACATGCCATTGGATAATCAACAACAATCAAAGCTATGTGCTGATGCCAAGGGCACCTAGAGCTCAGAATAGGAGCTTTTATGGGAGTTATTTAAATTTAAGTAAACAGACTATACATAATTTTACAGTTTAGATACTGAGGCACAGAGATTAAATAACTTGCTCAAGGTCACACACGAAGTCTGTGGCAGAACAGCAAAATGAACCAGATGTGGTTAAGACATTTGGGAGCAGCCTGACCAAAGATTATCCTTCCTGTCCTAAATGATACTTAAGTCCTTTGAAAACTTTACACGAGGATTATTTATCTACCACTTAAATGTTGCTCCAGAGGTCGCTGTAATACATGCAGTTTTTAAAAGTAGAAGAATAAATTCAATTGAAACGAAGAGAAATTTTGGGTAAGCATAATGTAAACGAATTAGGCTTTGATTTGACATCCGATCTAAAAAACAGCACCTCACATAATCAAAATGGCCCTAGTATTACTTCAGGATGGACTCAGAGAAAGAGTTCCATCTACATTTCTTTGGAGATCTTTCCTATATGCAAGTACAGACCGGGTTTCACTCTATTTATAGTGATAGATATAAACTAAAGCTAAAACACTGTTCACTGCACCAAGAAATGCAAACATTAAGAGATACCAGTGACATTTATAAAATATTATTTATAGATCTACGCTGATATTTGTGATTCTTGGTGCACATAAAAGGGAATCAAATTAATAAGACTTTTTGTTTAAGTTCATTAGAAAAAGGAAGCTACACGGAAAATATATTTTCCATTTGGCACATTACAACATTTAAAAAAACATACTTAGTTGACATCCATTAAAACAAGTCTTGTAACCTCAGTACTGTTTCCCCTAAAAAACAATTTATTTTTTTTAGCTTGGGCAACAAATAACCTTCCTCAACAGTGGAACTGTATGTAGCTTAACTTAACAGAGCAGTAGCGATTTGTTGAATGACCACAAAAAGAGGCAAAAGTTAAGTGTTATGAACTCAGGTTAGCAAAAGCCAGATCTATAAGAAAGATACCCATTTACACAGCAAAAAAAAAGCCAATTACTTACAGTGTGTGACTCCGGCCAGAGTTTGATAGAAGGTAGGGGTGTCACTATCATCAGTGAGTGTAACATACACTCCTCCAGATAGCAGCCAACGAGAGAACGTGAAAGCATCTTTGTTCTGCAATAACCAATTCTTAAACTTTTCATAGTTTACCTTTTCACCCTACAATAAAAGGAAGGAAAACTGAGTAAGTCACTCTCCTCTTCTCCTGGAACAATAGTAAACATGAAATATCAAGCTGTATGAATGAATGCTAAAACAAGTGCTGAAATAATGTCCATGGGACCATGTCAATTCTTCCACGTTGCCCTGAAATCTACCACTAGACTGAGAAAGTAAGAGCCCTGGGTTCCATTCCAACTCTGCTACTGACTCAGTGCGGCCTTGGTAAAGTCACTTAAACACATTTCTCTCAGTGTAATAAGGATACTACTTTCCTACCACTCACAAGGTTGATTTTTTTTAAATCAACTTTAATGTATTTTTATGGTAGCTGATAAAACCCTAAGCACCCCAGATAATAGATTCTATAGAGCACAAAATATGTCCTGTTACATCCATGCAGTGAAAGTGTCTGAAGCCCTTTATTAGTAGAAAACTGACAAATACTAATAGGACTACTTAAGTTTATGGGTGTCACTATAACCAGCACATTAGATTTATGCAATACCTATTGACCCCATTGATTCCAAAATATTTTGCAATATATGTATAAATCAATATATAAGTCACACCCAATGAAGATTTCATCCATCACTGAAGTGCAACCACGTTAGAGTGAAACACAGCAGCTGGGTAATATAAAGTATCAACACTACAAATAGTTTAGGGCACAAAATGAAGAAAAATACTGTCATTGAAATTGCAAGGAAGACTGAGGTAGACAGAATGTCACTATCCAAGCTGGAATCTGGTTAGGACCCCTAGGTTGACACCACCAAGAGTTCCTTGGAATCCTTAATGACCACAAGCAGGCCAGGTCTTGGGTTCCTTATCTGAAAGGCTAAAAAATATTAAAGACTAAAAAATACCTAAATGGTTTCTCTGCTATTATGATAAAGTAAATTATTTTAAACTAGTTCATTACTAAAAATAGTTTATTACAAGAAATAGTGAGAAAGGAGATTTAGCTGTAAACAGTTTCTGTGGGCCGCACGCTATCGATAATGTTTTTAAGCAGGTACGTTTTTCTGTCTGTTATGACTCTTAGTTAGCTTTTGCAGCATATAAATTCTAAACATGCTGCTGTTTAAAGCACATCTGTTCATTAGACTGCCACTCATATACTCAGGGTATCTACCACCAAAATCTCATCTGTCAATCCAGGCCCTTCATGGGTGTATACTTTATTTTTATATATATTTACAGCACTGGCAAAAGTATCTGCCAAGGAAGACAAAGTTACCAGGTGAGTTTTAGGATTTTTTAGACTTGGCGTTTAAAAGACAAATACATCTTCTATTCCAACCTCCTGCACATCACAGGACATTAAATTTCAGTTATACCCAATAACGTGTGTTTAACTGAAGCATATCTTCCAGAAAGGCATCCAGTTTTGATCTGAAGACATCAAGAGACAGCGAATCCACCACTTCCTTTGATAGTTTGTCCCAATGGTTAATCACCCTCATTGTTAAAAATGTATGCCTAATTTCTGATCTACGTTTCTCAGGTTTAAAATTCCAGCCACTGGTTCTTGTTATATCTTTTTCTGATAGATTACAGAGTCCTTTAGTACCTGGTATTTTCTCCCCATAAAGGTAATACAATGTAATCAAGACACTTCTCAATCTTTTCTGATGAATTAATCAGATAGAGCTCTTTGTGTCTTTCAGTGTAATACATTTTCTCGAGCCCTCAAATCATTTTTGGGATCCTTTTCTACACCCCTCCTGTATTACACATGCAGTACAAAGTCAATTAAGCTAAAACCAATTAAGGCCACTTAATGCTAAATAAGGATGTTCAGCGTGGGGTTTAATGCAGTTTAATTAATCCACTTCAAATTCACACCTTTAGTTAATTTGAATTAATTTTCCTGGGTGTCCCCATGTAGACACGCTTGCTGTGTCAAACAAATTGAACTGACGTGACAAAGGAAGTGAAAAGAAATTTTAGAAAAGTGAAAGATCCCTTTAAGAATACCTGCATGTTTTTAAAACAAATGCTATTTGAAATTGCTACACACTGTACTATTGTTTCAACACAGAACTGTGCAAAAAATTCAAGTTTTCCTGTATCCTTTCTGTAGTTCAGAGGTAATAAGAAAATATTTCATATGCATTATGTAGATTTCCCTCAGCTATATTCTAGGAGACTAGTAAAACAGAGTCTGGCTACCTCAATTTTCCCTTTATGTGTAATTCCCAACTGTGCCTAGAAAAAATGCACATACTGAAACAGAACGAAGTGGAAATGAAACAAGACTATATTCTAGAATTAAATATGTTGACTTAATACCTCTCAAGTTAGTTTTTAACACACCTCACTAGATGAAGGACCAAGTTGTGTAAGAGTTACACCCTGTGCAATCTTAGTGATGTCAGTAGAATTCTATTTTATATTTTCCCCTCTCAAACAACAGAATAAGTGGAGAAAAGTTTGTAAATCCAAATAGTAAAATTTTGGTAGAATTGACATTTTTAAATACTATTTTGTACATCTGAAACTATACATCCTTTCTGAGCTCTCATTTCAATGTTTTTCAATCTATGATAAATCATGTGCAGTAGTTAGTCTATGACACTCTCTACAACTATCTTTAGCATAACAGGTCCTTTGCTTTTCAAGAGGTTTTATTACATTCAAACTACAGAATTCACTGATTGGCATCAAGAGGGACAAATTAGTCTTTCACTTCTGGGCATCAGGTGATCAGTTTTTTCTCACCTCTGCTAGGAAAGGCAGTCACAACAGAGAACATAGATTTAGCACAATGGATGATTTCTCCATGCAGCTTATTTTAAATGGGTTTGTCATTAAATCCTTGGGCATTATGCTGAAATTTTACTCCTAAAAGTCTGAACTTCACCTGCCAACTTGTATGAACATCATAGTTAAACATGTAGCTTTATGGATAGTCTGCTAATACAAAGTTTTCTTCAAAAGTTATTTAAATAGTAGTAAGGTTTTTTCCTGAATTTTTAATAGACCTATAAAACATCATGCCTGTTTGACAAAAAAAAAAAAAGAAGGCAGATTTTTCCCAGTCTTCTCCCCATCCCCACTCCCACCAGACACACACTGCAAATCCGTATTACACAAAGCACAGTTTAAGAGGCAAACACAATACTCTTTGGAAAGTGAACATACTAGTTGGTTATATAGCATAGCTTTGCAGAAAACAAAACATGACGGTCTGCTCAAGTGTGTATTTAGAATAAAATACATGAATATGACTTGGCTCGAATCAAAGACGGTGAGTTTTTCTATAATATCAATAGAACGATTTGATAACACTTAATACAGGAAAACTCTACTAGCTTTCCTAACAGCATTAGGAAAAGAGATAAGATTAACTTTCGTTATATAACTCTTTCCCACAGAAGAAATGAAGATGGTCTCTCCTTGGTGCTTTACCAAGTGTTAGGTCAGTCAAAAAACCTCAAAAACAGACTCCAACGTGAAGCTGCAGAACTGGAATTAATTTGCAAACTAGATACCATCAGATTAGGCCTGAATAAAGACTGGGAGTGGTTGGGTCATTACAAAACCTAAACTTAATTTCCCCAATACTAATTTCTCCCTACTGTTACTCACACCTTCTTGTCAACTGTCTGTAATGGGCCTCTCTCTTACTACTTCAAAAGAGATTTTTCCTCCTTTGGTATCCTGCTGTTAATTGATTTCTCTCGTTAGACTGACCTAACACTTGGTAAAGAAACCCCCATCCTTTCATGTATTGATACCTGCTCCTGTATACATCTGATGAAGTGGGTTCTAGCCCACGAAAGCTTATGCCCAAATAAATTTATTAGTCTCTAAGGTGCCACAAGGACTCCTCATTTTTTATCCTCAAAAGAGTAAATCCATTTGCCTTACAATGGGAAGGAAGATCCACAGCAGAAACATAAAACTTTCTTACTATCCAAAGTATGGTACCAAACTGACCTAGTCTGATTAACAGACCAGTAAATTCAGTTGAGAAGGTTATGATGTACTTTTTCTATTTCAAAAGAAGATCAATATAAGTCATTTTTGTAAGACTGGAAAGCTGTATCAAGTCAGATAGATTCTTCTCCTTCTGAAATATTTTCATAAAGTATTCTGGACACTATTAAATTAATTTTAGCATATACTTCATCATACGATATAGATGGACAATTTATAAGTAGTGAATACCAGATTGGTCTTTGCAGTGTACATATAATGTGTGGCTTCTGCCAAGAATGAAGAACTTATGAATTAAATATAAAGTAAACATAATATCATTGCCAGATCAGTTGAGGGACACTCAGTCCACAACTACAGTTTCCTTCCAGGACTCCAAAAGCATTCTCTTTAATAAAGTCAGACAGCCGTAAGACAGTCTTCTCTCATCGGATAAAATACAAATCGGTTTTCAGTGAAATGTGAAAAGTTGACTAAGCTTCACTAGTCTGAAGTCTTCTGATTCTGAACACATGACAGCAATGCAACTAAATAAAAAAACCGATGACGAAGGTTACCAGACAGAGAAATATAAATTAATATTTTGCTCTACAGATGCCCATTTTGTGAGAATCTCAGTTTGCTTTGCAAAGATTAAGCCTTTCAAACCACTTGAATGGTGGATATATGTTGTACCCGTTTTAATGTTGGGTAAAAAGAGGGATAGAAAGGTTAAAGGACTTGTCTAACTAAGGTCATGCAAGAAGTCAGTGGTTGAACTGGGAATGACCGCAGCAGTGATAATTCCCGGTTCCCTATTTTAAGGAATGTTTAAGGAAGGAGGTTATTGCAACTTAATCTTGATCTAGTAAGACACTGGCTTTCTGTTAGAATCCAGATGTTATGCTCTATAAAGTTTCTACGCCACAAACATAAGACTTGCCTGATATTTGTTAAAAGTGCACAGGGCTCCCACCAGCAAGCAAAAGACCTTGTGTGACTCAGTAGGTACTTCATTTCCTTGTCTGGATATAGAGGGCAGGAATGAATTTTTCAAGCAATGAAGGAGAAGCAAATACACCTCTACCCTGATAGAACGCTGTCCTCGGGAGCCAAAAAAATCTTACGACGTTATAGGTGAAACCGCGTTATATCAAATTTGCTTTGATCCGCCGGAGTGCGCAGCCCCGCCACTCCCCGGAGCACTGCTTTACCGCGTTATATCCGAATTCGTGTTATATCGGGTCGCATTATATTGGGGTAGAGGTGTACTAAGAAAGCAGGATTTTCATCTGTCTAGGTATATGTCATATCAGCCAGTCAAAGAGAAGAGTGCATTTCCCCTCCAAGCAGTTTTGGAAAAATAAAAAGGATTCTATCTCCGGATTCTTCATCAGCAAACTATCTCACTATGTAGACGGAGTTACAGAATTCTTTGCTGGACCTAAACTCTGAGGACTCAGAATTGCATCTTTGTTCAGTAGTTTTTTCTGGCTGGGTTTTGAATTAATAGTGCTTATATTTGTACTGATCTTTCTAACAGCATAATTTCACAGAATTTCTTTTTTGTTGTCAAATGCTCAATCTCCCTCATTAGGGCTAAAGTTCAGATACTCCCATCTTCTCTCTGTGGGAAAGTTTAACCTATTTTTCACATGCTCTACCTGGCAAACGATCTCTACTCTCTACCTCACAAAGCCAACAGGAGCTCTGCATGGATGGATCTCAGCTTCTTGAGATGAGGGCAAAATCCAGGCACTCAATAGGGCACCTTTTGACCAATAGGAGAAATGCTTAAAAGATTCTTAAGGGAGCACGAATCGCCACAAGACATGGGTGGAATATAATCAGAGTAATCCACAGCTTCTGTAAAAAACAGGATCAGCTGAAACAGGGTAAGGGAGTGGGAAATAGGCAGAGGTCTGACCCATAAGCCCATATCTTAGAGCCTAGGCAACTCCTAGTTCTAACCCTAACCCTGAACTGACTTCCTAAGAATTAAGGATGAAAAGTACTATAAGAGCACAGTACTACTTTCAGTAAAGGGGTGTGGTAAGAAAAACAGAAATCTAATCAAAAGTGCACTGTTGAACTGTTTAAAAAAAAAGGAAGAAAGGATTTTTAGAATATAACAACTGCTGTGGTGATTGCTGGATGACTTGTCAGCTAAACATCTTCTGCTGTACTGTCTATGCCATTTCTTGAATTAAAAAATCAAAAACGTGTTTGGGAAAAAAATCTGACTAAATTTTAAAATTTTATTTTTTCAAGGTTGCTTTTTCAATTGTTTGCTCATTTCTGCAGCTAGCATAGAAAGGTTTGTAAAGGAAGAAGGCACACCTAGCAATGGGACTTAGAAAGCTTCGCAAAGACAACTGAAATCAATTTGTTTTTGGAAAAGCACCTTTTAATGGACGGTGGTGCTTTGAAAAGTAGACAGCTTTCCATCAACTTTCAAACAGAATTAACTGTTTTGATTTACACTGTATCAGAAACAAAAGGCAAAACACATTAAAACCTAATTCCTACATATGAAAGAAAATGTGTTGCTTGACTTTCTCCCACTGATTTTAATGAAAAGAAGTTTAATTTGCTGTATTCTTGAACATAAGGGTTATATGTTTGTATCAAACTGGAGTGTAAAAGGCAACACATTTTAGTGTACTACATTAAAAAAAACTTTTACAAATTTTAAATGGCTATATCAGTGAGTTCAGTGTTAATATATGTAATCTAAATGTAAAACATATGAGATTTATAAGGTAATACAGTTAGTAACCTACATCAGAATTACCTGCTGTTTATTTCCACCTTCATGTATGAATCTACAAATACTAGAAATTTCTCTTGCATATAAGCCAAACAAACTCAAACAACTTTTTTTTTTGTAATGACTTCACATCACCTCTTGAAAAAACTGGAGAGATGTTACCTAATCCAGTAATTCAATAGGATATCATATAATAATGCTGGGAATTTAATTTTCTTTTGATGCAAACCCAATTTTGCTCTAAAACCAAATGTTAGTGATGATATTCTCCACTATTATTTTAAATAAAAATCTTATTTTTCCCATAATAGTCCAGTGGTCAGCCACCAGATGAAGATCAATACCTTGCATTCTTTTCAGATGCGATCACTCTATTTAGGGCAATGAGTGTGCTAACTGGACCACTTTCTGAGTCAGTGATGCAACAGACAAATCTTTATACTTAAGTCTTGAATTCTCCAATTAACCAACATGGTTGTTCTTAGTCTCCGAGAAGGAAATAGGGTACTATCTGAAACCACACTAAAACCACCATTTTTAAACAGAAAAAAACACTTCTAAGTAGAAATTCCCTCAACTTTTTTGTGAGTAAGATTATACCATTGTCCTCAGAAAGAAAATAATCCCTGTACATACTGGACAAGGAAACCCCTGTTAACAAAATCCTTGTTTAAACTATAGTTGACAGCATGGTTTTAACCACAAGTAAAACCACAAATCTTGCAAACACACATATAAAGTTAAGCATGTGTGTAAGTGCTGGATGACCAGGGGCATTGCACAGACCCTGTCTGCTCCTTATACACCTGTCTGTTCCTATCAATGGCAGTTGCATATGTGGATTTACAACTTTTAAAGCTTAGAATATATACTGTATTTAAACAGTTATTTTTGAAAAATGTACATACATGCATGTATATTGCAAAGAAAATAAACTGTCCAATAAAGCAGTAATACATTCATCTCTTGTAAATTCAATGCATTAAAAATTGCATGACATACCTCAGAGAAACATCTCTTGAGCGAATCTGGAATTTTTCCATCAACAATATGAAGCATCCGCTCCATCTCTTCACGGACAACATAACTCCCAGATTCATTGGAAAAGAGACTGAAAATGTCTAAGTAAGAAGAGAGATTAAAATAAATGGAATACAAAAGTTGTGCTAATTTTGCAGTTAAGCTTTCAAAAATTCCGTTTAAACCTGCGTCAGAGTGCCAATAACTGTAAGGTAATCAAAGCACAAGAGTCATTAGGCTCATTCCACCAAGCTCTGATATTGCTCAATAAGGGGTTAACAAATATTTCCTTCGTGTATACGATTACCTGCTAGCCAAAGGAAAACCAAATACTGTAGAATCAAATTAAGAGGAAGACAAATTAACAAAACTTATTATGCAGATGTTTTAGATTAATGAAAATTTTTCAGAAAGAACTGAGACCTTAACTCTTTCTCACTCTTCCTTACAGAATATCCTCAACAGCCTTTCAACAAGATCCAGACACACTTGGGTGTTCACTATGTAATGTCAGATCATTTCTCTTTTGTTAAGTGCTGTAAACATAAAAATCCTGAATGTATATTGAGATCTGTATAGTTAAAAAAAATTCTCAGTCTTGATTAACTTGTGCTCTGAGTTACATATAAAAATCAAGATCTACATAGTAAAAACCTCAACTTAATCTCTGCTTTATAAAAGCATGTTCTACATATGTTATATTCTATGCGCCTTGTTACTCACATTTTGCTTTCTCTTCATCTCTGCCTCTTGTAAGTAGGACTAATCCCACAATCAGGTTATTGAAATGTAGCCCTTTGGATGTTCCCCCAAATGAACAGTAAATGACCTAGAAGTAACGAAACAAAAACAGTTAGTTTCATTCTTTAAATTATGGAAGGGAGACAAAGTGTGAGGATGAAAAAAATAAAAGCAACAAGCTGTGTTTGGGTCCTGGTTTTTGTTTTAGGCTAGTCACCTTCTAGAAGCTTTTCTGATCCTTGTTAGTCACATTAGGTTTGCTGTTGTTTCCTATCTCCTATTCTCAATGCCTATAAAAGGGTCTTTCCAAGATATCTTAAATAGTTCATCAGGGAAATAACATCCGCAAGAGTAGATTGAGAGCAAGTCATAGGAATAACAGAAAGATTACTGAATACAAACATTTTTTTCCCTCTCTCTTTAAACTGAGAGTAAGTTATCTATTTCCCTCATATACAAGGCGAAACAGGAAACAATGCAGTCAATAATTCAGGCCTGTGGGAAGAAACTGCTGCCTGGATTGGGAGAGGAGTGTGTAAAACAGGAGTTGGAACTTGCTCCATGCTATCACCTATGGGGAGAGAAAGCACCGTGATTGTCCTGCCAAAGGAAATCAGGCACACCCACAGTTAGGGCACACTCTATAACCAATGTGCTCCATAGGAGCTGAAGGCCACCACAATAGAAAAGAAGAAGCAGGCGGACCGCAGTACACAGCTGTCTGAATGGGTAACTTGGCTGGGTCAGGGAAAGGTCCAAGTCTAGTGGCTGTTTGCTCTACCAACACAATCTGAAATACACAAAAGATAGCCCACTGTCAAGGACAGGACAGGTTTTATTATTTAGTGGTTGGGGTGGCTGTATTAATTACTGATCACAAAAAATGGCTGTTTGAAAGCTCAGACATTTGGAATAGTAGCAGCAATCCCAACAGAAATAGATTAGTGGACAGAACGCAGGCAAGAAGATTCATGGTACAAACGAAATGCAGTTTATTCCAAGGTTCAACAGTTTATCACATGGCTGCAAAAATAAGGGAGTTTATTTCATGGACATCCTTCTACATATGTAGTACATACAGGCATTTAGTTTAGCTACACCAGTCACATGAAAATCTATTCAGTAATTGATTTTGTAGAAATGTTTGTGGAAGTCACTGGAACTGAAGATTTCATTTGAAGGGAGCTATGCCAATTCGATACAGAAGTGGCTTACATTTAATTTTCAGAAGGAAACACTATTTACCAATGAAGTGGTCAGTAGCAGGGCTGAAGCATTTGCCTTTTATACAGTAGACCAATTTATGCATTGCTCTTTAGCTAGCCAGCATATTTAAATACTGGTTGAATATTTATAGATGGGATATTTATGCAGGAAGTCACTTTAGGACAAGCAACAACTAATTTTAGTAACCAAGAATCACTAACAGGTTTATTCCAATATGTCACTTACTTCACCTTCCCTCTAACTTTACAAAAAAAAAAAAAAAAAAAAGGAAAACCAGAAGAGATAAGCATGAAGTGTTTTCTATAAAATACACTTCCAGTTGTACGGTTCTTTAAGAACACCTCCTGATTTAGAATGCTCACTAACTACATTATCTACAAGCATCAGTACCTTACCACTAATAGGAACAGAAATCTATGTTAGGGTAGGTCTACACTACCCGGTAGTTTGGCGGCAAGCAAATCGAACTTCTTGGTTCGACTTATTGCATCTTGTCTGAACGAGATAAATCGAACCCGAAAGTGCTCGCCGTCGACTGCGGTACTCCAGCTCGGCGAGAGGAGTACCGCGAAGTCGACGGGGGAGCCTGCCTGCCGCGTCTGGACCAAGGTAGGTTCGAACTAAGGTACTTCGAACTTCAGCTACGTTATTTACGTAGCTGAAGTTGCGTACCTTAGTTCGAACTGGGGGGGTTAGTGTAGACCTGCCCTTAGAAATTTAGAAATGAAAGCAGTCGGAGTTTAAGTTACACTCTCAAAGAGAAATTACTTTAAAACCTACATTTCTTCTCATTTGGTTTTCTTACAGATACTGCACTGTGCGACTAAGCATAGACTCCGAAGTCTGGCTGATGGGGAAATATTACTGTCACGGACAACAGAACAAATGATGTTGTGCTGAGCATGGTTTGGCTGGCAGACTGGGTTCAGCAGCAACTGCCTTACGTTTTCCTTTACTCTGCAAGAGTCAGTTATTTCAAAGAGAACCATATTTGACAGTGCTAAAGCAATCAACATTACAGTTTAGCAGGTGTTACCTTCTATTAATATTTTACTACTCTTAAATAGCACATTTTTAGCTCATCAGCAATACGTATTTTCAGTAAACAACTTCAGAAACTGAATTAAATGCAAATGTTACTTCAAATGTGCACAAACAGCTATCGCTGACTTCAGTGGGAGCCATGAATGCACTCCTTAAGTCAGAATTTTGCATAATAGCATCAGCATATATATCAGAAATCAATGGGGCTAAAAAATGTATGTAGAAATATCCTGTGTTTTGTACAGTACCATTAACACAGCAGTGTGAATTGTTACACTCATCCATTTCCTCCCCAAAATGGACAGTCTGTTATGCACCTCAAGCATGTGAAGCTCAAGAAGAGGTACAAGTGACCATATAAAAATAATTTGGGCTCAAAGCTGTATCATAGCCAGGTTCAATGACAACAGATTTAGGAGCAAGAAGAGCATTTGTTTGATGCTAGGATGGAGGTTCCCAATAAATAAAACTGAAGAAAATTTGGGGGGCAGGGCATTCCCCTGCTCTCAGTGACTGATGTGGATTTATGCCCTCTAACTCTTGTGGGGAGATATTATAAAGTCATTAAGGAAAAGAAATTGCTGTTCCACCTCATGGAATGGCAGCTAGATTAGTCATGAGCTGCTTACACAGTCATTGACAAATTTCTGTAATGTTTATAGCACCAAGTGAGATGTTTGGAAAGATAATTTGACTGCATTTTATCTGAAATAGTTTCACTATAATTAGTAACTGCTGTAACAGCCCTTTCAAGTCTTGTCTACAGTAGATTTGTGGGAAGTCTCCCACTGCTGCCCTTCCACCAGTGACAGCAACACAGTGCTAGTCTAGACAAGGGACAAGTGATCACTTATGTTTATATCACCATGTTTTCTAGACTTACTCCAAACGAATTAGGTAATACGGTGCTAAAAGTGCTAGTATCTTGCCTCTGTTGGTACCATCATAATTACTACCAGCAGTAGATCTGCACCAGATAGATGTCCAGCAAAACCTACACATAGCCTTACACACTGTTAGATGAGTTCTATGCCACTCTCCATCATCAATTTATTCTTTTTAATGCTCTCCACTGAAGTAGTTTAAGATGCCCATAGGTATGTGAATTCAAATGATATTATAGTACAGTTGGAGCACATTCTAAGGAAACCATTATGTAGAACCTGCAATTTCATTCCACTGCTTGTTGCATAATGCTACAAAAATAGATTAGCTTCCCAGAAGATGCTGGATCTTCTTCTTCTATTAATGCAGTTTAACCCATTTCCAAATGCTCCCCAGGGGGTACATTACGAAAGCTACATTTGTGCTTATTTGGATAAACTGATTGTAGATGCTCCATTCACCCCATCAGAGTTTTAAATTCCACACTTCCTACTCTTAATCATTTTGATTCCATAAGAGGTCGTCAAGACTATACCTCATATGTAGGTCAACTACCTTTAACAGTGAAAGGAAATAATTTAGAGAGTTTAAAAATATTCGGTTAGCTCATCTGATCAGGTGAGAGCTATCCTAGCTTTCAAGTATTAATATGGTTACTTTCAAATGAAAAAAAAAAAAAAACAACACACAAATTCTGGGTGCACCAGGAGCTATAAAAACCCTGTCCCTCAAAAACAACAATCACAACTGAATTTTACAGGAACATCACTGTATCAAGTTAATAGCAAGGGGTTTTGTTGGTTTGTTTTTTAAATAAAAGGTAAGTAACTTTTGGATGGGAACCTAGATGTAACAGCCAACCAGCAAATACACGAGGAAAGTTGCAAGTTAAACTAATTAGATACATATATATTTATGCTTCTCTCAATTAAATCTCATTGAATTTATTTTGCTAAGACACTTTTCTAAACTGAAGAAAATCCACATGGGCAAGTTTAAGAAAGTCCAAACACTTCTTAAGCATGTAGATCATAAGGCCTTTTCATTCCTAAAACCCTGTAAGTAAATGTTGTCCATCTTAGACAAAGCATGCTCTTTACAATTTGAAATTCCAACATTATACTTTTCAGACCTGCTTCCAAAGAGAATTAGAAGCGGTACTCCTGGCAGAATTATGCAGGCTAGAATATAAGAGGGAAGGTTCTTAGAAGAGATGGGTGGGGGGGAGGGAGAAATCACATCTTCCCTTTCAGTATGTGTGGTAAAAGTCTTCCTTCGCCTCTGTGTGTCCTACACAAGCAAGATAAATGGCAGCTGATATGCACCAACTCGGACAGATACTAAACAATAATTATGTGTAACAGGGCTGACCATAGTCACCTAAAACAACATCATATTAAGTGGTTCTGCTGTCTCATTTAGACACGTGGCTTGTCGCCTCACCCAGAAATAAGGGATGTGGGAGCGACTCTCTAAAAGAGATCCAAGGCGTGGACTGAGGAAGGAAAACTTATGAGCAACCCAGTCTCAGCAGATGGCTAATTTCTTTGTGATTAAAGACAAAACCTCAAGAAAGGAATGTAATTTTGACAACACAGACTTACGGACTTTTCCAGAACTCGCTGGAAAAGGCACCTGCACAGTTAAAGTAGCTAATGTGGCTGTTGTAGGGATTACAATACTTATTATTGGAAGCCAAAAGTACTAAGATTTGGTAAACACCCCAGGAGGCGGCAATGGACAACTGTGTTGTTCTAGACCACTACCCAACGTATGATCCTATTGTAAAAGTGTAGAAAGACTGGAAGCAATGCTGTCCTAATGTATAATAATCATTACAAATCTATACTGACAAAGGCCTAATTTTACAGACCTCTTTCAGTTTCCTTTTCTGCTCTCTTCACTCTTAACTCCATTAAGACTTTTTTTTAA